ACTGGTTCCAGCTTATAAAAAGGCAACAGTAACTCATATTTGCATCATGAATGTGCAGCCGACAAATCTTCAGCAACTGTGTGATGCTGTCTTGTCCAAACATACTAAAATCTCTGAGGAATTTTACAGTAACGAGGCAGTACTGAAGTCAAAAGGGGGTCCAACCCGAAACAAGTATGATGTTCCTAATAAATGGCCAATGAGTGTACAGTTGAAGTCCTGTTAGCCCCCCTGTATATTTTTCCCCAATTTCTCTTTAATAAAAATAAGCTTTTTTTCCAACACATTTCTAAACATAATAGTTTTAATAAGTCATTTCTAATTTATTTATCTGATTTATTTTATTTTATCTCAGCCATGATGACAGTTAATAATATTTTACTAGATATTATTCAAGACACTAGTATTCAGCTTAAAGTGTGATTTAAAGGTTAACAAATTCTGACTTAAAGTTACTTTCATTCAACCAGCAGGTTTTTTTGGACCGGAAATGACACAGGCTTCTCCCAAAAGACAATAAGACTATGTTTTGTTTTTTTTTTAGCTTAGTTTTTATTACTTTTAAACAAAAAGAGACAGACAGAATTGGCTGGATTTATATATATATATATATATATATATATTATTTTGTAATATGTAGGTGCACTATATTAATTATCTATTTTATTTTTTCTACTTTTATAATTATTTTTTGTGATGTGCGTGTAAATTAAATATTTTTTATTTTAGTGATGAACAGTAATTTGAACCCGTTTGGTTTAAACTTTTGACTGCTGCTTTACCAAATGGTAAACCATTTGACTGTTTTAAATAATGACTGTTAAAGTAATTTAAAGAAGGACTGTTTTAAATAATATTTTACACTGCAAGGCATTGTTGGTTTACAAAAAATCAAACAGACATAATCCTGTTGCACTACTATTCTTGATTTTAATTTTGTTGTTAAAAAAAAAGAAACATAAATGATAATCTGAACTATTTTATGGCATACTTCAAAAAATAAAGGTGATTTAGTATTTAAAAATGTTTTATTCTGAATATTTAAAAAAATAATAATTTGGTCTTTACAATTAATATTTTCAAAATTTTCATAGTATATGTATTAAGCTTGGTACTTTTACCTTACACAACATATCATCCATTTGGTAGAGGTTGATATTTTAGAAATTATGGGATTGAAAAAAAGCATTGAGTGTGTTAACTACAGGAAATGCAATCCAAACATTTTTTTTCATGGTGGGGTAGTTAAAGGGTTAAGAATAGTGATGCAAAATATTGCTATTTCAGATTTATTGCATATCACCAAAAGATTACTGAAACAGACAACAGAGAAATATCTACACTTATAAATAATGTAAACATCATATAGTACTGATGATTATTTCACTACTTGTCTTATATATTTAAAGATAGATAAAAGCTTTTTTTTAACCAACTTTGTTGGTTAAATAATATAAGTTGTAACTTAATCATGCATTATTTGTCTAATAATGAATAATCAGTCTGAAACCTTGCATCTTTGGCTAAAAGCTGAATAATCAGCTCGACAATTGTATAAAAGATAAACTGATCTTACCTTGTCAGGGAAGCTTTTCACACTGTAAATCAAAATGTAATATTTCCTTCAAAGTTCTTGGACGTGTTGCTGAGCTTGCACTGTACTTGGAGTTGTGAAACACAACTTTTGCAGCTTTATACTTCTTTGCAGTCCAGCCTCCAGAAATCCCAGAAGACAAGCCCTCATTCACTAAAGAATGTTCAGTCAGTTTTTCCATATGTGCATCTGATGAAAGCCAGATGTTCTGCAATGACATTTAAACTTCCTGTCATTATTAGACAGACATCAGGCAACAGATGCATAGAAATGCAAGCTTGTTTTGTCGAATATCATCTGCAGGAATTCATTGCATGCAAGACTCCAGAACTCCATGCTGAACCATTGCATCATCTTACAATCAAAACAAAAAGAGTATTAAGGGCTCCTTGTAGAAGATGCATTGCGCAATTACAGTTTGGATATAATTATCGCTGTTCAGAATTAAAAAGCATCTTCTATATTAAGTTATTCATAACATGAATAAAACAATAAGGCTAACTACAGGTCAAAACCAGCAGAGGATAACACTGTTTACTTTAAGAGGATAGCTGACTGAAAAAGAAAAACTTTGCTGTTAATCACCATCAGGGCATACGAGATGTTCAGTGCTCAACATATATGAGAACACCCCTTACAAATCTCTCATTTTAATTATTGTCTAAAGGAAGCTTTACAGTATTATATGTATGCATGTACATTGGATTAGTCAGTACTGAAGATCAATCTGGAACTAATGTAACAAAATAATTTATGATAACTAATCCAAAATTAGTATGCTCAAATTTATATGTTTAAATAAAAGTTAATAAAAATGTAAAAAAAAGCAAAATATATAAAATTTAGCAAAAATTTAGTAGTTTGTCACCCCCCCCCCCCACCAATATTTTGCATGAATTTAAATGTATTATGTTTCGATTTTAAAATATTGATTTCATAAATCTGTTTTGTTCAAATGCATCAAAATGTATGACCGATATTCACTGAGAAATGGATTAAAATATGAATTTATTCATATTTTTAATGGGTAAAAATAGTCATGGATATAAATATTACTCGAGATGGGGTGTACATTTATGTTGAGCACTCTACATTAGACTTTAAGACCATAAAAATATTTTTTAGCTGAAAACCTCCTGCTTTCATGCAAAAAGATTCATGCAAATCTGTCAATTATAGTCTTGCTTATCATCAATGTCAAAATGACTGAAGTGACCAATATCGAATCAAAGGAGGCGGAGCTTTATGCAAAATTGCATGCATTTCGGCGGGAACACGGAAAGCTTCCGTTAACGGTCAAGTTGAGCGTGAGGTAAGTAGTAATTTGGTAATATTTATTATTAGACAACTGTTTTTACCACAGAAATTTAGTAGTATTATCCTGTGATGCAAACTACTGAACGTTTTGTCAAATTTCGTCATTTTGATTGGAATATTTTGAGCAAATAATTATGAGGAGATTGGTCCAGAAATAGTTTTTAACATAACACACACATTCTCTCTTTTATTTTTTAAAATACATTTAAGCTCGATTTTTTTTGAGTTTTAATAAATTGTGTTTTGATCAATTAAATAGGCCAACAAAGTTTTCATATTCATCGTCTTTCTTTTTCATTATTTCCTTAAATCCTTAAATCTGTTGCTTAATTAAGCCCATTAGGCTTAAAACGGCTTTAATTAACTTAAAACGAGCAGAAACATCAAATTACTTGATTTTTTTATGACAACTTAATTGTTCTATGTTCAATCCGCTTAAATTTGTAAAAACAATTTAGTTACTTAATTGATTTGTGTTAGGACAACATGAAGGAACTGTGTGGAACCATGCATTTTTTTTTTACAGTGTACAACACATATCGGCCTTAAATAGCTAAATCTTTATTTTTTATGGTTTATTGCTATTTGAAGCAGCATTGAATGACGCATTGCTTTATATTTATGTATAATAAGGCTATAACGTTAGAATAGTAGTTTGTTATTGTTTTAATAGTTGAAATACAAAAACAGTAAAAGCCGATTTAACGAGATAGCTGATTTAAATTAAAAGCATATTGTAAAATGTTTTAAAATGGAGATTTATGCTGAACTGGAAACAATAATATTACATTTATGGATAATGTTATTAAAAATCCTACCATATCTTGTCAATCATTGTAACATAGACAAATTAAAACAGTTTACTTCTACATAACCGGCAGGTGGCGCAATTGCTCAGTATTGTTTTTATTTATTGTCAAAATACATTAAAAGAGGCAACAGAGTGTTTATTCAGTCTTACCTTTTAAACTTTTAATCTGTTTTGATATAGAAATTCATATTTGTATGCACATTAATGTATTACATGCCTTGAATGTTGGTTATATCCAATGTCAACAAAATATAAAAAACCAAAATATAAATCCACCAAATATAAACTAAATTATTATTCACATATTTTTAAATAAATATTATTTTAAAGAATTCTCATATATAGTATGAAAAAAACCCACCGTGCTGTTGTATCGGCTGAACTATTACATCTATAATGGCTACTATGGGTTACCATTTGCATTGCAAATGAACACTGCAGGGACAAAATAATAATGCTCTCTAGTAAGACATTCAAACCCCATTGTGTTTTATATAACTTAGGCCTATATGTTTTATAAGATATTTAAAACATAAATATATAAAGCACAAATGTATTACATCTATGCTTTGTATTTATTGAAGAATTTCTATGTATACAATATTTTCAATGTTTTCAATAATAGCATACATTTCTTGAGCATCACATCAGCCTATTAAAGTGATTTATGAAGAACATGTGACACTGAAGAGAGTAATATTGCCTATAATTAGCTTTATAAAGTATATTTACTATTAAATTCCATTATATAATTTATTCAAATGAAAGAAAAAAAAATCCTATTTTAATAATATTTTAATGTTTTATTGTATATTTTAAGAAAAATAAATTAAGAGTAAGAAATATCTTTAAAAAACAAACAAAAAATCTTTCCAATGTTACTTTAAATGCTGTTTTTAATTTGAACACTTTTCTTGTGCCACCACAGGTTTTGCAGAGGTTTGCAGAAATGAAGCCTGATGTCATTAAGACGACAATTGGGTCTCTATGTCCGGTGTTGTGTGGTTGTCTTTAGCCTCCTAGCAACAAACACCAACAGGAAACACGAGACCGCAGTTGTAGATGGACATTTGAGTAAGTATCAGGTGTTCATTTGACACACACACACACACACACACACACACACACACACACACACGCACACACACACACACACACACACACACACACACATAATCACAGCACTAGGACCCAGAAGCCTCCCTGCTCCCGCTGCCTCTGTTAGAGCGCTCAATGCTTTCCTCCCTACCTGAAATACTCACTCAGGATGGAGCAGAGAGATGTAGCGGACACCAGGAGCACACGAGATCCCAGTCTGAGACCACTAAAACACATCTGGAGAGAATACAGACTTGCCTGCATTCACTGGAAATTTTGTTACAACATCATCTGAACAAGAAGCTGAAAAAATAATCAACTATTTAAAAAATTGACTTGAGTTTGAGCATCTGCTGGATTTTATCTGACTGTTCTCCATCGCTGGATCAAGACAAATCCTACATTTGGGCTGAACAAGAAGTCATGTTCAAGTGTTTAGAGTCAGTCAGCAGATAGTTGTGTTGTTGCTGCAGAATCTTTTGCGGATTTTAAAGAAACAAATTGTTCAGGATTCAAACCTCGTCTGATTCTGTTAATAAAGTATCCCACCATTGGACTAAAACTATCACACTGGGACCGAACATGAAGTTATTTTCAATTAGAGTCAGTCAGCAGGTGTAAAGTCATAGTTATAGTATCTCTGACGAAGTTAATAAAGCTACGAATTTCAGGATTCAAGCTTCTGTTGGATTATCTGTGTTCCCAAAGTGTCCCACTATTGGACTTAAACATATTCTACATTGGGACTGAATAAGAAGGCTGAACAGGAAAGCTGTACTTGTGGAAACTTTGACAGACTTTACAAAAAACATATAATAATAATAATTCCTTCCATTTATTTAGCGCTTTTCTGGACACTTTTCCGCTTTACACATTTTTGGGTGGAATCTCCTCATCCACCACCAGTGAATGACCACCAGTAAAACATTTGCGCAAGGTTTCTAACTAATCTGCTACGTTGGGACTGAACAAGAAGTGACATTCAAGCATTTATATTCAATCAGCAGGTGTAAAGCCATAGTTAGCATCTTTGACGAAGTTTATAAATCTACATTTTTCAGCATTCAAGCTTCTGTTGGATTCTCTAACTTCCCAAAGTGTCCCACTATTGGGCTAAAACATATTCTACATTGGGACTGAACAAAAAATCTGTTCTTGTAGAAAGTTTACAGAGCCATATCCTCCAACATTTGAGCTACTGTTGGATTTCATGTGTTCCCAAAGTTCTACACTGCTGAACTGCTACATTGGGACTGAACAAGAGGCAGTTTAGAGTTAGCAGGTCTTAAGTCACAGTTATAGTATCTTAATGAAGTTTATAAAGCTACGTTTTTCAGGATTTGAACTTCTGTTGGATTATCTGATTTCCCAAAGTGTCCCACTACTGGACTGAAACATATTCTAGATTAGGACTGAACAATTAAGCGTTACTTGTAGAAGGTTTACAGAGCCATATCCTCCAACATTTGAGCTACTGCTGGATTTTATGTGTTCTCAAAGTTTCCACCTGCTGAACTGCTACATTGGGACTAAACAAGAGCCAGTTTAGAGTCCGCAGGTCTAAAGTCATAGTTATAGTATCTTTAAACCAAAATGTTTCAGGATTCCAGCCTCTGATGGATTATTGCTCTTCCCAATATTGGACTAAAACAAATTCTACATTGGGACTGAACATGAAGTCCTTTAGTCATATTCAGATGTTTAAAGTCAGTCAGCAGGTGTAAAGCTGTACTTATAGAAACTTTGATGGACTTTACTGAAGCAGACTCTTGACTGCATTCCCAATTATTTCTACAGTTGGACCAAAACTTCTACAGTACAGTAGGATTGAATAAGAGGTCATTTCAATTGTTTTAGAGACAGTGAGCAAAAAAAAAAAAAAAAAGTTAAATGGTACAGGATTCTGCTGGATTATCTGATTTTGCTCCCACTAAATGTACCACACTGGGATTGAAAAATAAGTGATTTAGAGTCAATCAGCAGTCGTCATAGTTTAAGGATCTTGGATGGAATTTACTGAAAAAAAGTCTTCAGGATTTAAGCTTCAGATGGATTATCTGTGTTCCCGTAGTAGGACCGATACAAATTTTATAATGGGACTAAACAAAGACTAAACATATTCAAATAATTAAAGTCAGACGGCAGATGTAAAGCTGTGCTTTGATGGACCTTACAGAACCAAAATCTTCAACATTTGAGCTGGATTTTATGTGATTGTCTTTCCAAATTTTCCAACTACTGAACTGCTACAGTACATCGGGACTGAACAAGTTGTAACACCAGGGTTTAGAGTCAAACAGTGCTAAAGTCAAAGTTGTGAAACATCTAATACACTTTGCAGAACCGAACTGGATAATCTGTCAGTGTTCCCAACGTACCCCAACATTATACATTAGGACTGACTAAGAAGTCCAATTCAAGAATCTGGAATCAGCCAGCAGGTGTAAAGTTTTCCTTGTAGAGCTTCACTGAGCGAGACCTGTATCATCTGCACTGTATATGTGTGCCTCTGTGAGTGACTCCGCATACAGCCATGGGAAATGCAGCTGGGAGTCTGGAGATGTCACCCGTACGGGAAATTAAACGGCCCCTCAGCACTTATGGGCAAAAACCGCCAGCAGCCCCTAAACTGCCTCAACCGTCTGAGGAGGAACTAGAGGAGAGGTTCAGCATTGTTTTGGTATGTACATGACTAAAAGAAAATCCCATAATGCAAAAGAGTAAACGAGGGTGGGGGTTTTTGCTTTAATATGTAATTTTCGTTACTGTGCTTTTACTGATTGATTATACAAACAGCATGTTAAAGAGTTTCAGTATGTTTGCTTGAGGAATCGGGATCACTTTCATCATTCATTTATTTTATTTGGGCTTAGTCCCTTATTTATCAGGGGTCTCCACAGCAGAATGAACCGCCAACTAATCTAACATATGTTTTAAGCAGCGGATGTCTTTCCAGCCACAACACAGTACTGGGAAACACCAATACACTCTCACATTCCCACACGCATACATACACAACAGCCAATTTAGTCTCAACTATAGCGCATGTGATTGGACTGTGGGGGAAAACGGAGCACTCAGAGGAATCCCACGCCAACACGGGGAGAACATGAAAACTCCACACAGAAATGCCAACTGGCCCAGCCAGGACTTGAACCAGCGAGTGAGGCGACAGTGCTAACCACTGAGCCACCATGCCACCTTCACTTTCATCATAGGTAGTGTTGGATGGGCTGTTCTGGGCTACCCCTCATGGTGGTAACAGAACAGCACCAAAAAACATTGGCTATGGGTTAATAGTTCCTTTCACACAGTGATAACGGTAGATATTTTCTGGAAAAACACCATTCACACACCCATTTCAATATACCAGTAAATTCTGACTTAATTATCCAGAAATTACCTCTGCGATTGTATTTGCAAACATGAAGGGGTCTTTTTGTTGATGGTTTAACTTTTATTTATTTAAAAAATGAATTCATTAATTTTGCTTTAGTCCAAGGCAAGCCAAAATACTTAACTATAGGGGAAAAATGTTGTTGATCATAAGCATTTTATAGATCATTTTATCCACAGCTGGCACTAAGAAAGATAGAAATATTATCAGACTAACACACAGATGTGAATGTGTCATCTAAATAAACTGATTGGCCAGAGTAGACATCTCACGTCAGTGCTTTCTTAAAATGTACATGCTCTTTCTGGCAATTTTCCTTCTGCATTCACACAAACCAGCATTGCAGGAAATTCATTTTACAACTTCTTTCCACTAAATTGGTGTACCTGTATGTTTAAAAAGGGCCTGTTTACACATGATCTCTTCAACACAGGCTCATTCTGAAAACGTAGCCCTATATACATTTTTGGAGATTGCAAATTATTTAGTCTGAAGTATGTATGGCTGCATTTCATCTTTAAAACGAGCACAATGGGGTGGGATGACACCATTCCTTTTCGTGCTGATCAGCTGACCGCTTATTTCTATATGAACGGCTTTCCCGCTGTTACGAGTTAGCCCAGTGGCTCGCTATGTACGTCGGCGGACTCGAGACACAGAGAGGAGTTGACCATGAAGATGGGGTTCGATTCTAGTGAAGCATGGTTCCAGAAAGTAGGTTAGACAAAAACAAAAGCCAAAAAATAAAGTAAATAACTGGCTGAGAATTTGGTAAAATCTGAAAACAGCGGCCTCTGGTGGATTTACACGAGAACAGCAAACATGAATGGCACTCGCGAAAGAAATTTGGTTGGGTTTAGGTAAGTGGTCAATCCGTGCTTTTGAATACGATATTGGTTGGGTTTAGGGAAGGATAAGGGTGGGTCAGTCGATCAGTCAGTCAGTCGACAGCGGCCTCTGGTGGATTAACGCAAGAACAGCAGGCGCAAATGGTACTCTGAGATCTCTGAGTACCAAATTTGAGATCTCAAAAAGTGTACACAGCGGCCTCTGGCAGATACGCGAAAACAAAAACTGCAAAAAAAAAATGTACCTCCTGGGACGTACTTGGCACTCTCATGAAATGTATACAGTGGTACATTTTCAGAATGAGCCTGGGTTGAATCTCTTTCCATAAAATTGCTGATAATTTACTGAAAGAGTCTGTATGTGTGAAAGGGGCTAATGAGACATGAGACTAATTACCATATACTTGGCTGATACTTTACACATATCAGAAATGAGCTAGGAGTTGGGGATGGTGGAACATGTGTAGAATTGGTGAGCAGCCAAATGCTGAAGAAAGATCATTTAAATACACTATAGTGTGACAGATGTCAGAACTGGATTGATACACTTCATGAAAAGCTGATTGTCAGCTGAGGCAAGCTTGACTGACGTGTCCAGCCTGAACTAATGCTATCTGCATTAACTAGAGTATAAATATGGTTGAAATGCATCCTGAAAGAGATGTGCATCTTTTTACATGTAAAGAATCCACATGATTATAGCCAGCTGAGCTCTACCAAGGTAACTGCATTCATAATCATGCTTGCAGAATCTGAAAAATGCCTCTGAGTATGAATGCTATGCAGCAGGGAGGCTGTAACTGTGGAGCTTGGAGACTTTAATGCGTCATTATTACTGTAGGTGCACTGCATGTGCTCTATCTGTTTATCATTTGCATTATTTATGATGAGAGCACAATATTTGCTTGGTGTTTAAATATTTTTTATGGAGATCCACCACTTGTTTTTTTTTTTTTCTTGAAACATTTTTATAAATGTTGCCGTTTGTTACAGGACAGTCACTTAAAACACTAACCCTCGGTTTCACAAACAAGGTTTAAGGCTAGTCAAGATTAAATTGCATGTTTGAGCTGTCTCAACTCAAAATAACTTGCGGTGAGATGTCTTAAAATACGTCAGTGTCATCTTTTTGTCTCCAGGTGCACACCACTTATATATTTTTCAAAGGCCATTTTTAAAAATGTGGCTTAAATAGCCTAATTTAACTTAGGCGTAGTCCTGGCTTAATCTAAGCCCTGTTTGTAGAACTGGGCCTAAGAGTAATGTTTTAACACGCTAAACATGAATATTTCCTAATAGAATTGTTTGTACGATCAAAAAAGTTATAAATAAAAAAGCTAAAAAACAGGATGCTTTTAAGTTTTATATTTAATTCAGAAGTTAAACGTTAATGTTAAAATTAATCGGTTTGTACTTTCTAAAACAGCTTAAAAGCAAATGTATGGAAAGTTGATGTTACTATAATGATATTCTTCAGGATATCGTGATATAGACCTGGAATTTTGAACAATTTACCCGATTAAACACTTAAATTCAGCTCAGAGTTTAAAATATTAATGCATGAAATCTGCATGGACCAGATTCTCTAGTAATTATTTAGCAATGCAAGTCTTTCACTCTTTATCTACTATATACACAGTAACAGGAAAATTGTTATGGCTCTGCTTTGTATATAAGTTAAGTCAGCTGTACTGTAACTCATTCCATGTTAATCAATTCAGTCTGCCAATATCCTTGATGCTGTTCCTCAATCAGATAAGCACTCCTGCAACATACAGCGGTGAAAGGCCATCTAATCTACAAACCGGTATTAAGGGCACAAGCCTTCTCATGTATTGGACAATGAGAAGACAGAGTTTGTGACATGCTGTTTGTATAATGGAAATGCAATGCAAATCAAGTAGCAAGTTCTAGATAAAACACCATGTAATTGAAGAGCAATCACTCGAAAACACACAGAGACAAGTACCAAATGTACATAATACAACTCAAAGCATCCGAACAATTACCAAAGTGCTTGTTTAGGAAAAGTCAAAAGAATTACCTTGAAAAACATGGCTGTTATCATGGAAAACTTCCATATTAGTGGTCATATATGTGTACACGTGAACACATGCAAATACACTTTCAAGAAAATTTACTGAGAATTCTGTGTTGGTGTCACATCCGTCAGTGACCACCTGAGGGCGCTGTAGTGCACTAGGACTTTGTAGGCACTACAGCATCCCAGGAAAAGAACTACATTTCCATACATACCACGCACATACGCCGGAACATATACACTGACCTGTCATCACATCTGTTTTGTGTTACTGTTGATTATCTGGACTATATATTCAACCATTCCACCTATGTTTGTCATCGTGTCGTTTGTCTACTTTGTCTTCCTTGTCTTTCCTGCTTTTTATGTTTCTTGTTTTGTTGTTTATTTGTACTTTGAGCACCTTGTTTCTCTGTTGATGCGCACTGTAAATAAACCGCACTTGGATCTGCACCCTTTTTGTTTCTGTTTCAATCCGTAACGTGACAGTTGGTGTCTTTATAAGGATGAATGTACACAGAAACTATAGTTTAAGCATTTAACCAGGGGCAAATTTTACCAGTAAGCAAGGTAGGCGGCTGCTTAGGGTCTTGGAAATTTGGGGGCCCCCCAATAAATACCTAGAAATATCAAATATACCTATAAATTATATATAACATAGTTTCTATCATATATTGTATATGGTGAGGGTCAGTGTTGGGTATATAGATTACAAATTACTGATTACATTACTAATTACTTCATGTTAAAAATAATCAGATTATTGATTATTTTGAAGTTCCTTTTAAAACATATAAATATACCTATAATAAAGGTAATAAAAAATACAAAATAAACTGCAACTCTTTCAGTAATTGAATATTCACTGAAACAACATTACAGTGGGTTGATCACAGCAGCTTGACATATTTAAAAGACTTAGAGAGATACTTCACTCAAAACTTAAAATTCTCTCATCGTTGGCTTGTTGCAAACCTGTTGTTTGTTAAACACAAAAGAAGACATTTTGAAGAAAACTGGATTCCTGTAACCATTAACATCCATAGTATCAAAAAGCACTGCAGTGTTTATGTGTTCTGTGTTTGTCTGAGGTAATTAGTCTACCTAAATGTGTATAATCCATACAAAGTTGAAGCTGGTTGGTCAGTTCTTGTCACATGTCACTCGCGGTTTTTAACTGGGTGTGCCTGGACAATGCGAGCACGCACAATATGTGCTCCCAGTATGCAGGCGCACAAACATGTGACATGTGAACGGCAGCATAAGCAGTTAAGTAGTTTTCTTCACGTTCAGAAGATACCTTCCCTTCCAATCCTGGACAATAGTCTAAATTAGCCTGTTTATGCTGAGTTGGGCTGCTGTGTTTTTGGCCACCAGTGTCCTTCTTAACGTAC